TATTATCAGGACATCGATTCTTAGAGCTACGAGTTGAGTCATAACACTTACATTACCCCATTTTTGCATGCATAGAGCTGGTATGCAGCTAACATTGTTTGTCGGGTGGAGTTGACCTTGAGGCTTTTAGAATTGACATTCTTTAAGCATATTTAAATCATGAAGCCTTTGAAGTTCGAAGGGGAGATATCTCTACAAATCTTCCACAGATTATACTCGAAAGGTCTTTGAGTTCATCGTGTAAGACCTGTGGAATTTACCCACAACGCTTGCTTAGTTGATCTATCTTCGAATTAGACATTAAGTATCGTAATACCGAAGCTGCAAAATGCGTATCTATGGCTGCGACACAGCTGGATTGTCCCATTTTCGAGAAGCGAGCTTGTTCACAGCATCGACACGCATTTTGTAGGTTCGATAGTTGACACATAACAATTTAATATCGAACATGATTTTAATGAACTCATCAGTGATGTGGGCTTGTTGACCTATAATATCTCTGAAAATTAATTATAAGGTATCTGCGATTTAATTATAAACTGACCTATATAGACTTTAGAGTTATTCAAAAAATTACCCACAGATTGTTGAAGTTGATTCAAGATCTACACTCCCGATCACTCCCGGAGTTGCCCAGGACTACGCGCAGCAGCTGGAAGTTGCACTACCCACGGAAGAGCAGCTTGGCGCAGCTTCTCTTGAAGATGGCTGGAGGGACATCCGTTCAGCCATAGGTAGTACTGCTGTAGCGGCACTAGGTACTGCAATCCCGGACCGAAGAAATGACTGGTTTGACGGCGAATGCAAACTGTTAGTAGAGGAGAAGAATGCAGTACGGGCGAGAATGCTGCAACACCGCACGAGATTGAATGTGGAGCGATACAGACAAGCGCGGAACAGACAAAACTCGGTTTTCCGAAGGAAGAAGCGTCAGCAGGAAGATCGAGATCGCGAGGCGATGGAAAATCTGTACCGCGTAAACGACACACGGAAGTTCTACGAGAAGCTAAATAGTTCGCGCAAAGGCTACGTGCCGCAAGCCGATATGTGCAAGGACTTGGACGGTAACCTTCTCACGAACGAGTGTGAGGTGATTGAGAGGTGGAAGCAGTACTATGACGAGCACCTCAACGGTGAAGCAGCAGAAAACGAAGGTGGCACGGCAACAGACCTTGGAGCACGCGCAGAAGACGACAGGCTACCGGCCCCTGATCTTCAAGAAGTTGAGGAGGAGATCGGTCGGCTGAAGAACAACAAAGCAACTGGTGTAGATCAACTACCAAGTGAGCTATTGAAATACGGTGGTGAAGCACTGGCTAGAGCGCTGCACTGGGTAATTGCCAAGATTTGGGAGGAGGAGATATTACCGGAGGAGTGGATGGAAGGTGTCGTATGCCCAATCTACAAAAAGGGCGACAAGTTGGATTGCTGCAACTACCGCGCGATCACACTGCTGAGCGCCGCCTACAAGGTACTCTCCCAAATTCTATGCCGCCGTCTGTCACCATATGCAAGAGAGTTCGTGGGGCAATACCAGGCGGGATTCATGGGTGCCCGCGCTACCACGGACCAAATTTTCGCGATTCGGCAGGTTCTGCAGAAATGCCGCGAATACAACGTGCCCACACATCATTTGTTCATCGATTTCAAATCCGCATACGACACAATCGATCGAGATCAGCTATGGCAGATTATGCACGAGTACGGATTTCCGGATAAACTGACGCGATTGGTCAAGGCGACGATGGATCGAGTGACGTGCGTTGTTCGAGTATCGGGGACACTCTCGAGTCCCTTTGAATCTCGAAGGGGGTTACGGCAGGGTGATGGACTTTCGTGTCTGCTGTTCAACATCGCGTTAGAAGGTGTGATCAGAAGAGCTGGGATAGACACGAGTGGCACGATATTCAGGAAGTCCATCCAGCTCCTTGGTTTCGCCGATGACATTGACATTATGGCACGGAACTTTGAGATGATGGCGGAAACGTACATCAGACTGAAGGCTGAAGCTAGACGGATTGGACTTGCCATCAACGCATCAAAGACAAAATATATGAAAGCAAGAGGTTCTAGGGAAGACAATGTTAGCCTCCCACCCCGAGTTCAGATTGACGGTGACGAAATCGAGGTGGTCGATGAGTTCGTGTATTTGGGCTCACTGGTGACCGCCGAAAATGATACCAGCAGAGAAATTCAAAGACGCATTATGGCAGGGAATCGTGCCTACTTTGGACTCCGGAGGACGCTCCGGTCGAATAAAATTCGCCGCCGCACGAAGTTGACTGTCTACAAGACGCTGATTAGACCGGTGGTCCTTTACGGCCACGAGACCTGGACTATGCTCGTGGAGGACCAACGCGCCCTTGGTGTTTTCGAACGGAAGGTGTTGCGTACCATCTACGGTGGAGTGCAGATGGATGACGGAACGTGGAGGAGGCGAATGAACCACGAATTGCACCAGCTGCTGGGAGAACCATCCATCGTCCACATTGCAAAAATTGGGCGACTACGGTGGGCTGGGCACGTCGTAAGAATGCCGCACGACGACCCAGTGAAAATGGTTCTAGAAAGCGACCCAACAGGAACAAGAAGAAGAGGCGCGCAGCGGGCAAGGTGGATCGACCAAGTAGAAGGCGACCTGCGGACCCTTCGCAGACTACGAGGCTGGCGAACTGTGGCCATGGATCGAGTAGAGTGGAGACGACTTCTTCGGACAGCAGAGGACAACAAGGCCTTAGCCTGATTGGTAAGGTAAGGTACTCCCGATCATAAATTTAAGGTAACCTAAAGTAAATGTTTTTTGTTCATATCTCTGCCATTTAACGATCAAATTTCGACCTTTACAGGTCATTTGAAAGGTATTGAATTTAGTTGATAGGTGACTGGTTTAATATATTTTATAATTTTTGTAAACCAAACCTTCTCTTAACGTTACAACATTTTCCAAAATTCACCCTGAATATTCAGGACTGATTTTCTCAGAATTGGTTTTGTCAAATTTGGAGATGAACGTGGAAGTAGAACCCTTATTATATACCCATCGAGGTACGTTTGTGAGTTTTGCTTTAACTCAAAAAATAGTTATTGCACCCTGGGCTTTGGCAAAACCTTGAGGTAGTTTAATTAGGCTACCAGGTCCCAGGGCTGATCTGAATCTTTACCACATTGGAAAGATGCACACTAGTGTTGCCAGATCAGTGTTGATACTTACCAAAAGTGCATTTGAACCCGCTTATAAAAGCATATCAACAGACTAATCATCATCGTACATTGTTTATTGCTCTGTACTAATAATAAATGATTAAGTACAGCGTTTGATATTTTAGTAGGAATGCTGAATTTAGTCGCAGTAGAAATCAATCCTTTATTGAATTAGATTTATTTCTATGGATATGCACGTTTGGAAAGTATCATCACAAAGATTCTGCACTCGGTCTACAGCTTATGGGCGGGAAGCGTTGTTTTTGTTTTTTTTTTTTTTTTATCTATTTATAGAGTCAATTCTTAGAAATACGAAGCGAAAGACAAATCAAGCATTAAGCACAAGACCTTCAAGAAAACTAACAACACGAAGTCTCGAAATGGCAATGTTTTATTCAAAAAGTCAAATATTTCAAGAATATCGGGTGAGACCAATCGGACTGAGCGCTCTTTCGGTCATCTGGAAGGGTTGTGCACGAGGAGCGATTTAAATCCCCCCAGTTTTGAAGACATTCCGGAGCGAGGATCCATTATCCAGAAACACAATACAACAAGAGAAGGAAGTAGTATTGAAGGTAAACAAGGAGTACATGGGAACGTCGAAAACTGTAAGTATACTCCGATCTATTCTAGTACTCTTGTATAAAACCTATTGTAAACCGGCTAGATAGTAGTCGTCGTCACCGGGAAGCATAGTCATGTGAAGATTGCCAGATCCGTGACCACTCATGATAAGGCACACAAGGCTCTCAACATTAAATACATTGCACGTGTTGGGTCGCACAGAGGGTTGATTAGATGTATCCTTTGAAACACCCGCATAAACGATAACCATAAGGAGTGCCTAACAACCTATTCGGGTTATCATCCCAACAATATGTGGTACGGTGGCACGATTTGTGGTATCGTTCATGTATGGTGCTCCCCACCCTTTATTAGGGTCGCTGACGCTCATTGCACGCTCTTTCGTTCTCCGGCTGATTGAATGGATGACGGAGTTTGACGTCACACTCCTTCAGACGTTTAGGCGGTGGGAGGGCGAGAGGGATGGTTGTTCAGTACACGGAGACAATTTTACAAATGTATTTCTAATAGGTAAATCACAGTTTAAAACTCACTAATAATCTCTTTCAATCTCTTTTAATTTCTTTTTCATTGACGGTGTGATGTAATCAATGCGCTCTGTGACGAGAGCGCAAACCAAACGAGGCCATTTTTCAACGATACGATAATAACTTATGCGCTTTTCACACAAAACCTACCCAACCCTTTCCTTTCTACAATCCCTGAGCAGCTGGTTTACCATAAGTATACCTCGCAGAACTTTTTTAACCCCCATGGGTAAAGATGCTGTGTTGCTCACTCCTCTCCCCTTCCCTGGTGTATTATGGATGGTGTGAATATTCACATCGGTGACATGGCCCCTGACCCCCTTGTACATCATAAAATGAAACTCAAAAAATAGTTATTGCATGAAAAAAACAACATGCTAAATGACAACAAAATTGCATATTTATATGGGCAACAAAGGTACAACTCCAAATGTGCCTTTGATGCTGCTTTATTGTAGGCCTTTTTGAAAATCTAACAACTAAGGTACATCCACCTATAACTTCCGATTTTTTCACGAATTTGAAAATTGTTTTTTTTTTGTGGAATGAAACTTCACACTATGCCATCAGAATCTCAAACATGAATAATGTCAACTTGTGACAGTATTGCATGCAACCGACGATATATTTTACTGTGTACTTTGGCAGTAACTAGCACACACACAAACAAACTGTTTTAGTACTCACCGGTCGAAAATCCTCGCCTCCTTCAGCACGTTGCCCAGGTTGATGTAGGCGTCCAAAAAGTTCGGATCCAGTGCGACCGCTTTCTCGAAGTGATGAATCGCGAGCCATATCTCGCCCTGGGCGTTGAACACGCAGCCCAGGTTGCTCCAGGCTACCGCAAAGTCCGGCCGTGTTTCGATCGCCTTCAGGTAGCATGCCTAGATGTTTTTTTTTTTGTATTTCCAAGTTTTGAAATTGATTTGGGGGTGCCATTTTACGTACGATTATTGCATTGCGTACAGAAAATTGCCGTGATTCAGGGGGTAGGAAGGGAAAATGTTTCATAACAAAATGATTGGAGGGGAAAGAAAAAGGAAAAATAGAGAGAAAAAACGATTATTAGTACAAACTGGTGATGTTGGCTGGGTGCGATGCGAAATGAAATCAAATGAAAAAAATGGAAACGATTAATCTGATTCAATCATTGGGAAAAGCTATTATCGACGAGATCAAACGAACAGAAAATCCTCAACGGTGGGAACAAACAAATCACAAGCTTCTCAAATCGATAGACACCAGCTGTAGGGAAAAGATAATACAATAATCATGGGACTATCGAAAGAAATTTTCAGTAAACATGCCACCAAACAAGATTCCCATTTGGATGGTGAAACACATCTCAAACTAGAGTCGACATATTGTTTTGATTTTCCTTTTTCTGTTGGCACTGAAAATCGGCTGATCAATCATTGAAAGGATATCTTCGCGCTCTCTTATTTATAGAAAGAAAAAAAAATCATAATTTAGATTCATCACTTCCGGGATCCCCCCCCCCCCCCCCCTCTTTCAATGCAGTGAACAGCCAAGTCCGTGGAATATTCCAATGGAAGGAAAATAAAAACAATTCTAACAATCGCACGTCACCAGATCGACACATATCCCAGGATGGGAGTCGACTGCTCTCGAATGATGTCGTCTATGGGACGAACGTGTTATAAATAAAGACTTATAAAAAGCTACATAAAAACGAAAGGAAAAATCACGGGACATTGTTCTCCGTGCAAAACGAGAATTGTTGTTAGGGATGAGGGTCCACCAATGCTGTCTAGTGTCTTCGAAAAAATACGGCAGATACGAATTGCTCTCCATTATTTCATATCATTCTGATGGCGAGGCAACATTAATCTGAGTTTTATTCTTTGATTTTATCGCTCTATTCAGTTGGAAACAGTACTTCGGTGCTTGACGTGAGGTTTTGTATTTGAAGGGAAGCGCGGACAACGGGAACAACACCTGCTAGTATGCGACGGCGACGAGGGTGATGTAGAATACGGCAATCAGGCATACATTCGAAAAAGTTTTAAACAGCTATGAATTTATGAAAATATTTGATAAACAAAGGTGTAGAGAAACTGTAAACAAAACCGATTCAACAAAAGTTCAATTTGCTTGGATGAGCAGCAACGATGATGCACTCGGAAAGCGATGAGTTATTCGTTGGTTGGAGACTTTTGTAGTCGGCATGTCTATTATTTTCTGGCAGTAAAGCAGCCTGTTTTGGAAGGAAAAGTTTACACCAGTCTGGACTACTACTACTGCTGATTGCGAAGGTGAGCAAGGAAAATAAACGTTAATATGATGATAAATGGCTTAAAATTGAAGAGAAATGGGTGTGATGTACTATTTCTTTTCAATCTGTCGATCATGAAAGAAATCCTCCCTATCACAGACATCAGAATCAAAGTTTCCAATTGTGATTGCCGACATCTTTCCCAAATTGACGAACCGAAAATGATCACGTTACCCTGGGAATGCCAAAGTTACAGATTGGTCATATTTTTGCAAACCAAGAATCCGAATGAAAGAACAGAATATTTCAAATCATGATTCAAATTTTAATGTGAACTGCTAAACATATTGAGAAGCTAATTTTTACTCAGTGTTGCGTATATTCATCACTGCAAGCATTACTTTGATCTATTGTGATAAATTCTCCATTTTAATAATTGCTTGGTCAGTATGTCGTATCACTATGTGTGGAGTGACCGTCATGGACTGACTAAAAGCATACTCCCAGCCAGGTACTACTTCCAATGAAATGTACCACTTGGCTGGTAGCTACATTCCATAGATCAAAGGGTTTTGTAAGCCCCTTGTCCACAACAATACGCCTTTTGTTAAAAATTGCTGTACAAGAGCACAGCACATCAGCGTTGCCAGATATACTGGTTTGTCAGTATTTGTACCGATTTTCGAACTTGATACCTATATACAATTTATACACATTTTATTCCGATTTATACCATTTTTTTAATAATCAGTATTATTAATTTATCGTTCTGAATATGCCCAAAAAATAATTCAACTAAAAAAAATGTCTTAGAGAGCATGTGTGACAAGCAACCTAACTAACATTGAAAGCTGAATAAGGCCGCATTCATGCAAATATATGCTCCTTCAGCTATAAAATAGTGTATTCAGCTTTTAATCAGCTCAAATTGTTTGTTAGTAATGCGTTAGGTATAGGAAGAACGTGACAAAAGGGGGGGAGGGGTTGAGTTTCCCTAAAATGACGTGACGTACTTAATGCATGCTCGCTCATGCTTGATACTCTTTCGACTAGTGTTTCCATTTTCTCGCCGTGTTCGGCTACCCAGAAATCGAGAAACAGCTAATGGCTCATCTCGGTAATTCCTGGGATTCGGGAAATACTTTTGTTTTTTGTCACCAAAAAAAGTCCCACAGGATGTTATTTTTTTTTAACTTTCTGAAGTCTATTGAATCTTTTCTTAGACATTTCCTTAAACTTTCCCCTGGAATTATTATTTTCCAATTCCTCCCGGTAACTCATTTCTATTTTCCTCAGGAGCTTCGAGCTTAGGAAAGGTTTTTCCGTCTTCTCCCGCCACTTTTTTTTCCAACTTTCCCGGAATATTGTGTTAATTTTCCCAGTAGCTTTAGACTGTTTCGAAAACCTTCTAGCTTTCGCCGGAAGAAGCTTCCGACTTTCTTCAGAAGTTTCTTTAAAACTATATTAAGAAGTTTCTTCTATCTTTTCCAAGAAATCCCTTTAAACTTTTTTACCGGAATTATCATCGAATTCTCCCAGAAGTTTATTTCGTCTTCCGGTTCTCCATAAGCTTCTTCCGGAGGTTTTTTCCGACTTCTTTTGGCAGGTTTTTCCAAGCTTCCCTGGAAATGGCCACTCCTGGAATTTTCTTCCGATTTCCGAAACCTTTCTGACTTCCTCTGGATATGTCATCCGATTTTTCCAACAGTTTCTTTGAATTTTCCCTAGAAGTTTCCTTAACATTCCTCCAGAAGAGCTTCTTTCTTATTTCTCTGGAAGATTTTTCGGCAAACATTCTCCGGAAATTTCTACCAACTTTCCTGGAAAGGTCGGTCTTGGGTACGATTTTCCAAGCCACTCCAATACGAACTATCCTTGTACAAAGTGTATGCATCCTTCACAAGTGTCCACAAGCTTTTTCAAGATCTTGCAAAGACGTGTGAGCGATTGTGAGGGATGCGTATGCTTAGAAAATTGATATTTCGATTTGGATTGGTTTGGACTGGATTTTTAGCCTCGAAAATCTTAGAGTCATCCCCCTAACTTCTTAGTCCAAATGTTAAAAGTTTTTGCAAAAATATAAAATTATTTAAAATAATAAATATTGATTTTTTTAAACCTTTGATACCGATAAGCTTGAAAACAATCTGTTCCGAGTCGTTCTTTTCTATGCCAGGCATATATCATCTTGTAGTCTTCCGATTAGATTCAGTTGATATTTACATGGACAATGTCCTGTTATTAAACCAGTATACCAAGTAAACCAGTAAACCGAGTAAACCAGTAATCCGAGCAGCCTTCAATCGTATGGGCTGGTGGAAAATCGACTTGAATGGCGAAATTCACTTTTAATTAAAAATATCAATTTGTTCGATATATTATTTCTACTTCATGTTACTATTGCTAAAAAGAAAAAAAAATGTAGGATTTTTCTCACTGCCAGAAGCAAGGTTTGAAGAGAAATCGACGATTTTTCGAAAATCTTCATACCGCAAAAACTGGTTTAGCGGGGCGACATTTGTCGAATTTGAAGGTAGAAATTGTTACTCAATTGGAAATAATCGATTTGATCTTTTCTACCATACTGAATCCAAACGATGGCTACCAAGGAAACAGCGCCATCTATCGGAAAAATCAGTATCTCAAACGATTTACTGCAGCAGTTATGGCATAATCAAGGGAAAATTGATATTTTTCTGATGTAAATATCACGCGTGATATTGGAGCAAAATATCATGCTTGATATTGATTTTACAAGCGTGTAAAGTTGAAGCTGAGAGTTGATTCGTCGCAAAAATGATTCCGTTGCACCTCGTTTTCTTAAAAAGAGAAGTTATAATAATGCTATCTCTTTTTCTCTTCATCGATGGCAGACACGAAACGTTATGCTGCCAGACGTTATGGAAGTTTCGGTTGTGTTCGGGTGTAAGCAAAAATCACCACAGTTTGGTGAGATTTGCAACTGGTGAGTTTTGTTAGCTTGATATTCCGATATCACAGCTTGCAATATCAAGCAGTTGTTTGCTTGTTAATTTTTGTCTACGAAAATCAAGCGTGATCTTGTTCTTGGGTGGGATTTGATTATTTGATATTTTCCCAACACTGAACTGCAGACATTCCTGAAAATTAATAGACATTCTCACCGCAGATTTAAAAAAAAATACCTGCCAGATATGCTAATGTCGTCGACCATTCGTCTCAGCTCAACGAGATCGGAAAATACTGTGTGTGCGTGTATTATAAAATTTTGAAAGACGTATTTGTCAGTACCCACTGATCTAAATTAGACGCAACTAGCGCCAAACGGAAGGTACCATGGTCCGATAGAACGATGTTGAACATTTTTAGGATAAGTCAACTAGTTCCTGAGACATGTTTAGAACATATTCCGGTGGTCCGGAGATGAACCAGCGTCTGGCTGAAAATCTCCTTAATAAAGGCAACCAACCAACCTATTCCGGTGAAAACGGGTCTTGAGACTAGGAGTGAAACGTGTAAAACACATCATATGACACATCAAAATTCATGAAACTTAAAAAAAAAACTAACTAATTTTATGGCCATATCAAATTTTCAGGACCACATTGAAACACACCCGGACATGTTCCGGGAACCACCGGGGAAGTAAGCAGTTTTTGGCTTAGACCT